TAGAATTTTGAGATGTAACTCAGAATTATAAAAAAAATAGAATTTTGAGATGTAAACTCAGAATTATTTAAAAAATAGAATTTTGAGATGTAAACTCAGAATGATAAAAAATAGAATTTTGAGATGTAAACTCAGAATTATTTTTAAAAATGTTAGAATTATGAGATGTAAACTCAGAATTATTTTTTAAAATGTTAGAATTTTGAGATGTAAACTCAGAATTATTAAAAAATAGAATTTTGAGATGTAAACTCAGAATTATAAAAAAATAGAATTATGAGATGTAAACTCAGAATTATTTTTTAAAATGTTAGAATTTTGAAATGTAAACTTGGAATTATTTAAAAAATAGAATTTTGAGATGTAAACTCAGAATTATAAAAAAAATAGAATTTTGAGATGTAAACTCAGAATTATAAGGAAAAATGTTAGAATTTTGAGATGTAAATAAAAAATTCAGAGAAAAAAGTCAGAAATGCCAGATGGAAACTCAGAATTATAAGAAAAAATCTGAACTGTGACATGTGAACTCAGAACTGCGTTGGGAAAAAGTCAGAATTCTGTTTATGTCTCGCAATTTTGTAGTTATATATCACAATTCCGACTCTTTTTTTCATATTTGTGACAAAAACGTCATAACGTCATTATTTTACCTTTTTAAAATGTTTGATGGGCCTCCACAGGACCAGAACTAACCCCAGTATTGCATGAACACCTCAACACCTCTCTCAGAACATGTGCAAACCCAGTTGTATGTTTCGATGATAAGTCTGAGTTTCCACAGCTCTCGTGGGTCAGATGTGCTCTCAGGCTGATGGTATCTCTCCTCTGGGAGTTTTCTCGTCGCTCTGATAGTCACTGCAGTGCTGCACACAATACAATACTGACAGGGATGAAGGAAGCGACGTTTCCTCATCGCTCTTGTCTGTCTGTCTGTCAGTATAATGGAGCGATGCGGACGGGAAATAGTATTTTCTTGTAAAACATACGCTATTAATCTCAGAAAAATCTTTTTTCACAGTGCAAAGTTACACATAATACATATAGGCCTTTGGAAAGTCTGGCAGATGTCATGAGTTTAGATTTTTATTTTTTAGCGCCTGTTAACTACAAACAGTCCTTTCAGACCTTTAGTTTATTTAAACTTTAAACTCTAACCCCCAATTACGTTGTTGATTATCATAAACAGTTATGACTTTTCAAGAACAAACCAAAATTGCTTTTACAGTTTGTTGCAAATGGCTTAAAAGCAGAAATGTGCCACTCATATTTTTATGTAATAATGTGTAATTTGAGTTGTAAAGTGTGTACAGTAATTAGTGGAAAGACTGCTGATGTAACCAGATTAACTTGTGGTTACTAGTTTGCTCATAAACATCTTCATCAATAGTTCACCTCAGAATATGATAACATATATTTAGCATCAGCAAAATAAAACTAAATTAATATTTTTTGCATTGTGGCATTTTTTATGACAATTAAGCACATGTAAGCTCTATGTTCTCTTAGTTATAATGTAAAAAATGAAACATCTGTATAATATTTAATTTTTAAAGTATTTACATGACAGTTGTACACTGAAACAATTTGGTGGATTTACTCAAATTTCACAAGTAATTACAAAGAAATGACAAGTAACACATTGGATTAAATATGAAATTCTGAA